CACATGGAATGTGTTTCTAGCAGCCACTGTCCTACACAATGCCATCATCTCAGAGTAAAGCCCGAAACATGAATAGGCCAAGTTAAACATCACTAAGAAAGCACTCCTATAAATGTTTAGACAGAAGGCAAGTTCTACACTTCCCGGTATTCTCCATTTGGGAGTTGTAGGACTCCATTTCTGTCCAAACATGCATAGGATTGGACCTTAAAGTATTTGTTTTGGCAGGGTTGATCGGTCAGCCTCGTGAACAAATGGAATAAAAAGAAGGGATGGACTTCTGGTCCATGTAACCTCTCCTGTGTTTGTTACAGTCCTCTAATTCCATACACATTCCTTTGCAAATTAAAACAAACCAAGCTGCACACAGAAATTCATATTTAAATATGTATCTAAAAAATGTGGTTTTCAATACATTTTCTCTCAGATACGCCACATGTTCTAATAGATGCTTTTTCAATCTAGTACTAAGTCAAAGCATACAGGAAGTTCGGACTGGGTGGCTAATTCTGTTTCCATTTGTATCATGGACCAGGAACTCTTTGTACCGAAATCTGCAAACACTGACTTCCTCAGGCACCTCTAGATGGAACGGAACTAGCACGGAAATCTGGAATCCTTTGCAGCATGTCAACAGTGGCTGGTGCTTATTTTCATACATTTATTTATTTATTTGGAGTTTTTGTATGCCGTCCCATTCGCATGAGCCTTGGGACGGCTTCCCACACAGTAAATAAACAAGTGTATAAACAATACATATAAAATCTGGATTTACCCTGGCTGTAGAAATTAAAACCAATAAATAATATTAACAGTTATTAAAATATTGTTTAAATAAAAAGGTCTTGGCCTGGCGCCGAAAAACCAATAACGACGGCGCCAGGTGGACCTCTCTGGGGAGTGCATTCCATAAGCGGGGCGCCACAGCAGAGAAAGCCCTCCTGGTACTCACCCTCCAGGTACTCACCCTCCAGGTACTCACCCTCCTAATGTCTTTCACGGAGGGCTCCCCGAGGAGGGCCTCTGCCGCCAATCTCAAGGGGCGGGAGGGCAAATATGGACGCAAGCGTTCCTTTAGGTATCCAGGTCCCAAGCCATTAAGGGCTTTGTAGGTGATAACCAGCACCTTGAATTGAGCCCGGACTTCGATGGGAAGCCTGTGAAGCTGGTAGAGGACTGGGGTTATGTGAGAGTAACGCCCAGTCCCCGTCAGCAACCTGGCTGCTCTGTTTTGCACCATCTGAAGTATCCGGACTGTCTTCAAGGGCAGCCCCACGTAGAGCGCGTTACAGAAGTCCAATCGGGAAGTAACATTTCAGAGCAATATCCCACATGTGGTTATTCCCGACCTGACAGCCCTCATTCTTGGCAGCTAGGTAAAGGAAAGCAGCCGGAGGGATCAACCTGGGAGGGAGTCCCACGTGCATGGATCTGTTGAATGGGATAAACTTGCACGGTGAGCTGTCTAAACTGGTTCTGGAGATTTGCTGAGTGAAAGGGACTTCCCACAAACGAAAGACCCTCTTGCCCCAGCTCGCTCTGAATTCACACGCTGTGACCAAGAGGTACAGCACATGGTGGGCATGTCGTGAGCGGAGCCGGCTAGAGCCGGGGGTCAGACTAGATGGCCCGGGAGACCCCTTCTGACTTGCTTTGTTTCTATGTAATCTCCGATGATCCAGAAAGGTTCATCCAGAAAATCCTCGGCTTTTTGTTATGGGTAGGACAACCACCACCCCAAGTAAGAAAAGTGGCATGTCACCAGCCCACATCAAAGCCAAACAGAAGTATGACAGTCTTTGGCAGGCCTCCCAAGTGTCCTCTGGGCCACTGTGACCTCCGTTGGCCAGTGAAGCCCAGGAAAAGCCCCCAGAGGTATTGTTAATTATAGCTTGGGAGGATCTCGCCTATATTTATAGCAACTCCTTCGTTGTGTGGTATTTGACAGCTTGTGGCCTTCTCTAAATGGGGAACAATGGGGCGATTAACCTTTCTTTGGGCAGTCAGTGACAGAATGCTCTTTTCTTAATTTTGGCCCTTCCACAGGTGTTTGGGAAGACAGAAAGATGCCCACAGTTCGGAACAGCAGCATCCACTCCATCCGAGGGAGGGGAGAGCCAGAGAAACACATCTTTGCATCCATATCAATTAATTATAATTAATGTGCTACAGTATTTTATAAATGAAGGTCCTTTCACACAGCCAGCTTTCCCCATTCCCACACTGCAAGGCCCACCTGCCATGTTCCTTGGGTAAGATTATTTTTCTGTCCGACCCAGTGTTGCTTACTCCAGGGTTTGCTCATCTCTGTTTAGGCCAGTGACACATTTAGGACTTCGAGGGGGGTGCTGTGGGCACTCTCACAAAATGGCTGCCACGGGCAGGGAGTTCCACAGTTTAGGAATGGCCACCGTCAGAGGCCCTCTCATGCCTTTGTTTGTTTGAATGCTTGTTTCTGATTTTATTTTGCAGTGTTACGGAACAAAACAAACACGTCTGCTATCATCCCACCCCTCCTTCTTTCCCGCAAGGAGTCCGAGGCAGCCTGGGGGAGCTTCCTCCTCTATTTTACCCTCAGAGCAACCTGGTGAGGCAGCTGAGGCTGCAAGACACCCAGTGAGCAGTTATGCGTGGACATGCAGCCACGAGGCTCCGGCTTCTGGAAGCGCCACTCCACAAGCGCTGAGGGGGACGCAAGCGTCCGTCTGCAGAGCGGCGGGGGGGCGCAATTCCAGCCTCTCCCGAGCTGGTCCTTCCGAATGTGCTCAGGACCAATTTGGCGCATCTGAAGGGTGCCAGCTTAGGGAAGGGTGCTCCCAGTGACTGGGGAGGAAGCCAGTGGGTGGTGCTGGCTAGCCCTGCCTTTCCTAAAAAGTATTCAGAGGGTCGGGGTGGGGGCGGCTATGCATTTCCATTCAGAGCACACAGAAGCACATTGCATGCGCACAGCAGGTTTGCTGACTGAGGAGGCCCCTTGCCTCTCTCGCAGCCCTGCAGCCTGGACACTGCGCTGGCTAGTTCAGCATCCCGACAGGTCGGGGCTGAGAGCCGTTCGCCGCTGCCCCACAGGTGCTGGAAGCCAACCGGAATGAGACTCCGAGGCAGGTGAAGGGTGGGATTTGGAGCCCCCGCCTGGAGGGAAAGCCCACTCTGCAGCCTCATGCTACTTCTGGGACTACGGACCCCTGCAAAAGTCCTGCCTTGCCTGCAAACAGGCAGCTCAAGTGGGACACAGGGACACCGAGACACAGAGGGACGTGGCGACACTCACCATGCCCGGGGGGAGAGGCGCCGGTCAGTGTGGGGGCACACGTGTGGGTGATCCTGGCACCGCCAGGCAGAGCTGGGAACAAATCCCGTCTGAGCCAGAGTTGCTTCTTGCCGTTGCGCTTCCGGGGTATGGAGCCTCTTTCGTTCTGAGAGCTGACTTCCTTTTTGGAGAAACTTTTGGGGGGTGATGGAGCATTAGGTGGGTGGAGCTCCCTAAATTCAGCCTGCCTGAGCTAGAGGTTCTCACCTCGAGAGAGCGACAAAGCCTCACAAGCAGCGTCCCCACCTTTCGGAGTGGGGTGTGGACAGCAGCAGGCGAGCTGGGAACCTCCCAGCAGTGGGTGGCTGGGGAAAGAGCTGGGCCAGGAAAAGGGGAAGCCTGAGGGGCAGATTTTGTCCCCGGACTCGAGGTTCTGACCTCGACATAGACAGCTGTGTGGGAGGAGGACAAACTTTGTAGCTTGGGGTAGAGCACATGCTTTGCGTGAGAAAGCATCTGGTTCGATCTCTGGCAGCAGCTCTGGGTAGGGCCAGGAAACAACCCCACCTGAAACCTGGAAAGCCGCTGCTGCCAGTCCGTGTTGACAGTGCTAATCCAGAGGGTCTGACGTTAGGTCAGTGGAAAAGCACCTCCACTGTGCATATGACTATTCTACCTTTTCTCAGAGGGACTCCAAGTCAGCTCACAACCCATTGAAAAGTCACGCCACACCTCTAAGATTTGAGCTTTAAAATTCTGAATCTATCGTACAACAGAATAAACCCTCTCCAGCATCAATGGCAGAGAACATTTGCCTGTACCCTCACAGCTTGCACAGATAAATACTCTTTTAATTGGCCCTTGAATGAAAACAGCAGACGAGACGGCCACCGACACCCGGGATGCCACCACTGGGAAGGCTCTGACCACTTTCCACAGACAAAGTCTCTCCAGTGGATTTGAAATCTCCATTCGGTCAGTACGGTGCATGCAAAAGGTCTTGGAGACGGCTTTTTCCCTGCACTGGGTGATCCTAGGAGTGGTCCAGCTCCTGGTAAGGGCCAAGAATGACTCCCCTCTGAAAACCCAGAAAGCCTCTTCCGGGCAGGACAGACAGACAGACCCTGCTCCTGATTCAGAATTCCTGTCACTGGGCCGCTGAAATAGGTAACAAGGAGACAGAAATCAAAGAACTGCACGGCTTCGGGTGGTGGCTACAACTGCAGATAGTTCCCGAAAACTCCTGCTGCTCATGTGCTTCAGCAAACGAGCGAAGCCACGTCTCTTCAAAGTGGGCAGGCGGCCTGCAGCTGCCAAGATCCATGCCAGCCCGCAGAGCTTCTGGGCGACTTTGGAGCCAGCCCTGCCATAAGCTGAGGCAGCTGCCTGCTGCAGGTGAGAGATTCCGGATGCCCTCAAAGCAGCAGGACAAACAGCCAAACCCGAGGATCCACAGGGAAATCCCCCTGCTCAAAGCCCAACAAAAAACCGAGAATGGCGTGAGCATGATGCGCCGCATGCGCTGGGAGCTGGGGGAACCTTCAGAGTTCCCACCTGGCCACTGAAACTTCTTCTGGCAGCCCTGAGTAACTCACCCCAATGAAGCATCCAACACTGGCAAGAATCTGGACAGCTCATGACCCCTTGCTGACCCCCAACTGCCCGCACTCCCGGTCCCCTCAGGCTCTACCTGCCACGGCACATGAGGATGCACACACAAGACACACCCCAGCACCCGGACGGTACTCACATCGTCGTCTTGGACACTCAGGGGAATATCTAGCATGCACATCTGGAAGGGCTGCACGAGCGCCTTCTGCATGCTGAACAAAGGTTTGGCCTCCATCTTCCAGCACGCGAAGGGTGCCTCTTCTCTCCCCGGAGCGCTTACTTCTTCCCCAATAAATCCAGCCCTGCAGCCAAACGCTCAGCACTGCTGGAGCACCTTGCCGAGCAATACTGTTCGCCGCAGATCCAGTCTCCTCCTCGCGGCAAACGAAAGGATGAACCCGCAGCAAGGGATTTCCATGCACTTGTCCTGATGGGGGTGCGGCAGCCCTGCCCATGAACGAGGTGCCCCCCTCACCTCACATCCGCGTGCCGTTCGACCCGCTTCTCCTCGGCTTCGCCTGCACCCAGGCTACTCCCGCCTGCAGCTTCTCTGCCCTCATCTACGTGCCCGGCGCTCACACCTAGAATTCTGCATTCCCTCCGAAGACACAACAGGTCTTCGCCTTCCGCAGGCTACAGGGTATGGAAAGCAGGCTAAGCGGCAACAATGATCCCCTGCAGTCGGCCGCCCGTTGCAGGCAAAGGATGAAAAGGGGGTCGAGGGGAGGGGGGCTCGATGCAGTCACCATCTCCCTCCGCTGGGCTGGCCGCTGTCTCTGTGGCACATCCTTTATATTGTTTCCAAAGGATTACGCCCTCAGCTCCCAAGGGCATAGAGGGGATGGGGGGCGGGGGGAGGGCTTGAATAATTCATACCTATCCAAGAGCCCTGGAGAATCCCTGCTACAGCACAGCGATTGCCAAATGACAGGCAGGAGCTTCTGTGCGCATACCTCACTGGAGATGGCACTGGTTTGGTTTGAGACTTCAAAACTGTGGGGCAGGACAGGAGAGGGCTTAAAGGATGGAAAACCAGGAATGTCACCTGGGGAGGGCAGCAAGGGGCAAATCAGACGGGCACGCAATGGAGCACTGGGAATGGACTGGTGGAGAACTGGCCACAGATCAAGTGTGCTGGCGGGAGGGGCTTTCCACCCCCTCTTTCCTACTGCAGAGATTGCTGGCCAGGGAATCACGAGACCCTGATGGGAATGGGAAGGGAGGCTGCCCAAGAATTAGGCAGCGGGCCACCCACATGTAAGACCCATCCTCTCAGGGGAGGCAGATCTTGGAGGCAAGCCCTGACATGCTTCTAAGGTGAAAAGCAAGACTGCAACCTGCCCGACACACGGTGAGGACAGCCGGCAGGCTCATTTCGGTGGGTCTAGCTCAAGCGAGGCGGCCCTGGCAGCTGCCCAAGCAGGCCAAGATCGACTCTCAACTGCCAGCCGTCTTCATTCCTACACCAAGGATGAGGAATTTCCTGCCTGCAGAGACAGCTTTGCCCTCCAGTTTCTTCTTCAAGGCTCAATCCTGTCCTTTACAGGTACACTTTTAAAGATGGCAACCACAGCCAAGCACCCAGCCAGTGGTGCCGCTAGATAACCTTCGGCCTTGGATTTAATTGTCCCATGGGGGCCCCCTTCGGATGTCCATACTGCGGAGCGCACAGCTATTTTTCTACCCCCCTGCCACCCATTAAAACTGCCTCTCATCATAGGAGAGATTCAACAGGGGTGGGGAACCTTTTCAGCCTGAGGACATCAGAATCATCTCACGGGCCGTATTCCCTTTGGGGGGGGGGGGCAAAGGCAGAATGGGCATGTGATGATTGGCCGTCGCCAGCACAGCGGCAGCAACCACTGAGGTTGCCGAACATCCACGACTCATTTTAATTTCTCGTTAACCATTCCCACAACAGAGTCAGAATAACTATTTCCTAAAGATGTCATTCTGCATGTGATGAGAGAGAGAAATGGCCTCTTTTCTCGCTCCTCGTGTGTAGGGTTGCCTGCTCAGTGACTCATGTGGGATTTTATCTGATGCTACCTGACCCACAGAAACAAACAGTGCTTAAGTCAGACAAACACCGGCTCTGACTGCTGGTTTTATCCATGGGGGGTTTCCTCCTCTTACTCACTCTAGTCATGGCAGCCAGTGATAAAATGAGGTTGTTTTCAAAGCAAGGCATCTTGAAAAGAAGCCCTGCCAAGAACACCAGTGGGAGAACATGTCGGGGGAAATCTCCACCCTTCAGTCCTACACATGCTCCCAGTGACCACATAGCATGAAACTGACCAGGAAGCAAGATGTGAGCTGAATACGTGCACCTAAACGATGGGATGTGAGGAGAGCAAGCCTTGTTTTGTGCCCGTAAGCTCCATCCTGTGAGTCATGGGCGGAGGGGAGTGGCTGAAGGATGTTAAGAACCTGTCACTAAAGCACAATCCTGGGCACGTTTATACTGAAAAAAATCCTATTTTGCACAGCATTCCCCAGCCAGCTGAGGATGCTAGGAATTGGAGGCTTTTCCCTGTCCACACTTGCAAGGACTGCATCCTCAAGGCCCAATCCTAGGTGTATTTCAACAGAGAGGAATCCTACAACTCTTAGCATTGCTGGCTGGGGCATACTGGAGGTTGTGGGACTTTTCTCTGTCTAAACATGCATAGGATTGCACTCTAAGCGACCTTAAATGTGGGTTTGTAGGGCTCTTCTTCTCCACCTGCCACTTTTCCTTGAAAGTAACTGTGTCTGAGCTTGGCCTATATCTCTACAAGGGAGTAAGAACCACTTCTGGCATTAGGAGAAAGATTTCAGGCAGAAGCTATGCTTTCCACTCATTTCTATTTTACACACCACATGGCAATATCACTGTCATCTAGCACATTTCTTGCAGGCCTTAAGATTTCACCCAGAGAGGGCCCCACTGTCAAAGGTCCAGCCCCATAGCTGGGCTATGGGGGAGCCACTCAAAAGTAGGCAATGCATACAGTTTAAAAACTGGTTAAAGACACAAATTGTAAAGTGTTTTTTTATTTGCTTGCAAAGCAAATTAAGGCAGTAGAGAAAATGTAGGGGGCCCAAGCCCCCCCACCCCCATTACAGGCACATAAGAGCCCCTTGAAGTTGGGTGCCTTGCCCAAGACTTTCCAGAGTCTGGAGCAAACACAGCCCGCAGAGAAAACTTCAAATCGCCCCAAATGTACGTTTTTCGCTGGTGACCCACTCACCTCTCATCAGTGGGTCATTGAGTGATCAAGTGAGACCCCCTCCCCCCCCTTTGTGCCTTCTCTTCCTCTACAGGGGGGAGTAAACCAGACAGAGCTGCTATTCTGCACGAAACCGTCAACCCCCACCGCTGCATGGCCATGCACGCTCCCCTCTGGAAAAGATAGACGTGCGGAATAAATCCACAAGCGAGACCTCATTGAACCAACCGCTAACCTCTTAATAGGTACAGAGTATCAATTAGCAATGCAAAGCAGAGAGATAATGAACATTCAAGAAGAAAAAATGATTAATCTTCCAGGGGATTCCAAAGAGGCTGTGACAGGCACTTGCTCCTTCTCTCCCGGCTCATCCAAACAGCTCCAGGTCCCTGGGGACACGGAAACCAAGCACCAAAATATCCTACAGATGTCGGGTTAACAATACCAGTTAAGAGCCAACATTCACGATGGGTTTTCCCCATTCACCATGCGGGTACCTTGCTCTGTCTCCATGGAGACAGCCACATGCAACGTTGCCATGTCGACGGAAGCACACTACGATGCAGGGAGGTAGTTTGGTTTGTACAGAAGAGAGACAGATATACACACAGCCAAAACCCCCTGTGCTAATGCCCTTTATGAACACAGAGGCTCCTCTATGATGCCTCCAATTACTAGGCCTGCTGGCCTTCAGAAACTGAATTGGTTGATCAGCAACTAAAAGCCGAGCCGCCTGAAGCAGAGACAGGAGCCTGAGGATTTTGCATGGGCTTCGGCACGTATAACTCTGCATGCGAAATAAAAAGACAAAATTCAAGATACACCCTCCATCCTACCCTCCTAAAATTGTGCAAACTTCTGAGATCTTGAGATATTTTCAGCAGCCACCTCTTGCCTGATGGAAGGATCGGGAGGTCCTGAAAGCCGGCACAGTAAGTTGGCCTCATAAAGGTATTTTGCCATGTGTGATTCTGCGCAGTCAGCAAGCTGGGAATTGCAGGCCTGTTTGTTTCCACCTGGGCATGCACGGTGAGATCACACCCTCAGTTGATGAAGCAGAAAGGGCTGGATTTACTCAGCTAGAAGAGGACAAAACAACCCTGCAAGAGCAAATAAGGAACATCGTAGGTGCAGGCCTCCTACCGAGCTGGCACAGGTGGTCCCCCCAGCTTCTTTCCCAGCCCTACCTGCAGATCCTGCCAGGGACTGAACTTCTGCAGGCAAAGAAAGGGTTGCGCTGCTGAGCTGTGGGTTGTCCTCCAAGCATTAAAAGCAAGAAAGTGTTTTTAATAGTGTGCTGACATTGCACTAAGCTTCAGTTATTAAACTTGCACAGATCCGGAAAGTGGCTCTGTGACCACTCAGCTGCATCGAGCCCCCTGTTCTTGAACTCCGGGAACGGCTGCAACTGCCATGGGAGGACATTCCCCGCACTGGAAGCAACCCAGGAGAAAGCTGCAAATTCTGGCTTCAGGTTTTAAAGGAACCGTAACAACTAGGGTTGAAATCCTCTAACCACTTACGTGAGACAAAGTCCCACTGAACCCCCTGGGGCTGACATACCTTGCTTGCCCTGGAGAAACCCTGCCCTTCACACATTTTGTGGGATCCTGGCTAGAGCCCATGGGAGTTATAGGCCAAAGTCCCAAGATTGTGGCTAGAGCCCGTGGGAGTTGTAGGTCAAAACATTTGGAGGGCCTGGAGCTGAAAAGTAACTTTCAGTCGTGTCTGCTGCCCTCTCTTTGGCATCACCTGGTCTGCACTTGGGAGCAAACAGCAAGGCCTGGAGTGGTTTTCTTGCAGCTGCAAATATAAAGTGGAGCTGGCCAGGTTTGTACTGCCAAGAATATCTCGCAATGCCCTTTCATCCTCGCAGCAAGCAGCCAGCATCTCCTTTAGGCAATGCAAAGTTCCTTACACTTTCAGCAACATCTCAGGAAAAAAGCCCTTGGATGGAGGCTTACTGATACTGGTGTTTCTTTACATGTCTCAGTGATCAATTTAATGGCTGAGGGAAAATCAAGTCGACTCTGCCTGCCTGCAACTGGCCTGGCAAAAATACACCCTGTGCTTCCTCTAATGTACACAGGGACACAAACAGTCAACTCCTAGTGAGAACACAAAAATATACACACACAGGCATACACACCCTGGCAATTTCTAGGAGGGCGCACACTAACATCCACACATACACAGAGCTAATCCTAAAAAAAGGCACACGAAAGCACACTCAGCCGATTCTCAGGCAGGAGAGCA